AAGATGGGATCCTTCCTGCCTTTCACTTTGTTGCCTGTGACTGGGTTTACTTGCCATATTAATCACCCAGGTTACGTATTACTTGATTAGGGGCTGGAGGAGGAAAAGCAGCATCTGGGCAAAGATAAAGATAAACTGGGCCTTTGAGTAGTTTAAAGTAAATTTTACAATAGCCTCATTTAATTGACACAATGAACACATGGGCCATGCTGAGGTATTTTCTTATCTGGGGGATGTTGAAACATTCCAGGCCAGGTTACTCCTGGCTTCTTAGTTTCAACTAATCTTCACTGAAGAATGCTTATACTCCTAGTTTGATATTTTACTTTGGAGAATTAACGTGACTCTGATTTTGCTTAATTGTTTAATAGGGAGTTTTGATAGGTGTCTTTTACCGGAAGCCCTCACGCTACTCTGACTACACCCACGGTCCCTGTCTCAGAATCTCTGTGGCTAGTTATAAATTACTCAGCTGCAGATTACAACCCGAAATGACAGAAAGATACAAACTTTTAAATACAAGAAAATGCACTGTCAGTTCCCAGACCAAAGGAAAGAAACTCCACTCCCAAGTAAAAAACACGAGAGATACCTCATGAAACATTTTTTAATTTTAAAGGCGCTTCCTCCGGGCGGCCTCACCCCTGCCGCCGCGCCGCGGGGCACACTTGAATTTCAGCTCGCCCGGCCCTCGCCCTCGAGGCCCCCGCCGGATAAATCCACACAACGCAAAACGCCCGCCGGCCTCCCCGTCTGCGGCTCCGGCGAGCCCATCTCCCCCTGCCACGGCGAACTTCGCCGGCCACTCGGACGTCCGCTCTCGGCGCACCCGCTCCGCTCGCTCCCTTCCCGGGATGCCCCTCCGGCGGGGCGCGCCGACACCCGACCCCCGGGTGGGCCCCGCGAGCCCACCACTCTCGTCGGCCGTTTCCCAGCCCCACGGGCCACGCGCCGCGCACTCGCCGGCTCCACCTCGACCTCAGGCGGGGGCAGGGGTCCCCGCGCCCCGTCCGGGTCCGGCTGCGGTCCGCGGCCACCTACCTTACAGTCCGCAGGGCCGTCGCTGTCCCCTTCATCCCTGAAGTGGGTCCCGCTCTCGACCCTCCACGGCAGATCTGCGGCGCCGGGATCTCAGCGGGCGCGAGGAGGCGATCCGAGGCTGGGGGCGAAGTTGGTGCCGCCAGCGGACGCGCACCTGGAGGAAGCCGCAGCCGAGCACTTCACGGGCACAGAACTTCCCGGGTCCATCAACATCTGGTCTCCGCCGGTTCCGCTGCGCAGACGAGACGGTGGGCCCGAGGTGCCGGGCCGCCTCTACGGACAGGGCCAGCGGACCGAAGCACGCAAAGTGCAGGAAGACCATCTTCTCCCGCCGGCGTTCTTCACGCTACTAACTTGAATACGGCGGCGACAGCGCCCGAGGATACACGCAGCCGCCGGTCTTACGTGTTTCCGCGAGCGACCAATGGCTGCCTGCCCCGCGGCACAGNACCAAGGAAAGAAACTTCACTCCCAAGTAAAAAACACGAGATACCTCATGAAACATTTTTTAATTTTAAAGGCGCTTCCTCGGGGCGGCCTCTTCCCCGCCGCCCCGCCGCGGGTCACACTTGAATTTCAGCTCGCCCGGCCCCCGCCGGGATGAATCCACAAAACGCAAAACGCCCGCCGGCCTCCCCGCGCGGCCTAGCCCGGTCCCTCCGCCTGCGGCCCCATCCCGGGCGGCGGGAGCAGGGCGGCGCCGCAGCTCCAGGCCGGGCGGACGCGCGCAGCGGACCGGAGAGCAGCCGCGTTCACCAGCTGGGCCCGGACAGACCAGCAGCGGCTCCGACGAGCCCCGCCCCCTGCCACGGCGAACTTCGCCGGCCACTCGGACGTCCGCTCTCGGCGCGTCCGCTCTCGGCGCACCCGCTCCCCTGCTCCCTTCCCGGGATGCCCCTCTGGCGGGGCGCGCCGACACCCGCCCCCCGGGTGGGCCCCACGAGCCCACCACCCTCGTCGGCCGTTTCCCGGCCGCACGGGCCACGCGCCGCCCCCTCACCGGCTCCACCTCGACCTCAGGCGGGGGCAGGGGTACCCGCGCCCCGTCTGGCTCCGGCTGCGGCCAGCGGCTACCTACCTTCCAGTCCGCAGGGACTTCGCCGTCCCCTTCATCCCTGAAGTGGGTCCCGCTCTGGACCCTACACCGGAGATCTGCGGCGCCGGGATCTCAGCAGGCGCGAGGAGGCGATCCGAGGCTGGGGGCGAAGTTGGTGCCGCCAGCGGACGCGCACCTGGAGGAAGCCGCAGCCGAGCACTTCGCGGGCCCAGAACTTCCCGGGTCCATCAACATCTGGTCTCCGCCGGTTCCGCTGCGCAGACGAGACGGTGGGCCCGGGGCGCCGGGCCGCTCCTACGGACAGGGCCAGCGGACCGAAGCACGCAAGGTGCCGCAGGACCGTGCTCTCCCGCCGGCGTTCTCCACAATACTAACTGTTGAATACTGCGGCGGCAGTGCCCGCAGCTACCACGCAGCCGCCGGACTTACGTGTTTCCGCGAGCACCCAATGGCTGCCTTCGCTGCGGCACCGGCCCACCTCTGACTGACGGCGCTGCGGGACAGGCAGCCATTGGGAGCGCGGCTGGGTGGGGCCGGGGCGGAAGCCGCGCAGGGTCGTGTTTTTCTTCACATACCGGCTCGCCACCTCGGGAACGCTTCTGTGTTCCGGGCCTTTTATGGTGTCTTAGGCCCCCGACCGCGCAGTGCGGGGCCGAGCGATCGGGGAGCTCGCCGGTCCGCCTCTCCAGACCTCCGCGCGCGGCCGGGGTGGCGCGGGGTTCCACTCTGTATAGTAGTGCCACAGCATTCTGTGTATTAATTTTGTATCCTGTAACTTTGCTGAATTCAGATATTATCTAGAAGTTTTGGAGTGGATTCTTTTGGGTTTCTATTATATACAATATCATGTCTTCTGCAAACAGGGACAGTTTGACTTCTTCCTTACCAATCTGAATACTGGTTTTTATTTCTACCTGGCACAACTTCATTGGGTAATTGCCATTCATATTGAAGTGCTAAGGTAACTAAAGTACTACAGATAAGTAACATATCAGGAATGTGCATTTTAAAATAAGTTATCCGGTTTTTTTCTTTGTATATATTTTTTTCAGATGGATTGCAATTACCGTGGATATGTTGCAGGTTTCCAAATTCTCTTGTGTCACTCAACACTTGTTCAGGACTCAGGTTGTAGCCTATTTAAAGATATTCCATGGGCAGTATTAGGTCCTGGTAGTCTATGAGCTGACCCTGTTTTTCTTTTTTTTTATTATTATTTATTTATTTATTTTGGTATCATTAATCTACAGTTACATGAAGGACATTATGTTTACTAGGCTCCCCCTTCACCAAGTCCCCCCCACATCCCCGTTCACTGTCACTGTCCATCAACATAGTAAGATGCTGTAAAATCACTACGTGACACCAAGTTCACAGTCACTGTCCTTCAACATAGTAAGATGCTGTAAAATCACTACCTGTCTTCTCTGTGTTGCACAGCCCTCTCCGTGCCCCCCAACACTATACGTGCTAATCGTAATGCCCCCTTTCTTTTCGTCCCACCCTTATCCCTCCCTTCCCACCCGTTCTCCCCAGTCCCTTTCCCTTTGGTAACTATTAGTCCATTCTTGGGTTCTGTGCTTCTGCTGCTGTTTTGTTCCTTCAGTTTTCTTTTGTTCTAATACTCCACATATGAGTGAAATCATTTGGTACTTGTCTTTCTCCGCCTGGCTTATTTCACTGAGCATAATACCCTCTAGCTCCATCCATGTTGTTGTGAATGGTAGGGTTTGTTTTTTTCTTATGGCTGCGTAATATTCCATTGTGTATATGTACCACATCTTCTTTATCCATTCATCTGCTGATGGACATTTAGGTTGCTTCCATATCTTGGCTATTGTAAATAGTGCAGCGATAAACATAGGGGTGCATCTGTCTTTTTCAAACTGGAGTGCTGCATTCTTAGGGTAAATTCCTAGAAATGAAATTCCTGGAGCTGACCCTGTTTTTCTAGTTCTAGTCACCTTTATTATTTCAGTTCCCTAGAGGGTGAACCAGATTTCCAATAAGATAGAGTTGATCACTGTGCCAGCCTCTATTCCCGAAGGGAGGCTGCATATTGATTGTGCTGAGATCTGCTGCTTGAGGCTTTGAGCAATCCTGAATGCAAGAGGTGTTGACTGGTCTCTCTATACTCCTTTAGTTCTCCCAAATTCTTTCTTTTTACCAAGTTCTTGATTTCCTGGGATGCGTAATAATTGCCGAATGCCTGGATCTGATGGAAACTGTGGCTCTGCTCCCATTAATTTTTAGAGGAGTAGTATCTTCAGCCCACACAAAGAAATTATTTAGGACATTGAACGTCATGCGGGACCTGTCTCATGTCTCAGAAAGAAGAAAGGGACCTAAGACTAAGGAAGAGAGTGCCTAAAGGTCCTACAGGCTATCTATACCCGAGGAAGGGGTCTTAACCAGTATAAGCACATAGATCCATGCCCCCAACATACTTTCTTTTAGATGTTCAATATTTCTATTAGAATATTTGTAATATAAAACATTATGCGTCCTGTGGTATTAGTGGTCCAGCTCTGGGGTAACAGAGGTAAAGAAGAATAAAGAGGTAGAGTAGAAAAACCAGGGTGACTTTAAATGTAAAAAAAATATTCTGACCTAACTTTCTCATTAGAGTATTAGATTATGGTTTTGGTAGAATCATTTCAGACTTGTTTGATTATTTTAACATTCTGGGGAACACTGCAGTTTAAAAACATCTCATATGGAATTGAACCAACAGAGACTGTATCAGGATTCTTGCACATCATTTATGAAGAAGAAAATGATAACCCTAATATTCCTCTCTTGGGAGACAATGACACATATAGCCGTAATAATTTGCAGTATCAAGACAGTAAAAGTTCAGAGGTAAGTGTTGGCTTTTTAATTTTATCTTATTCGGTATAATTTTGTGAAATGAAAAGCATTTTCAGAGCAAAATTTGGTGACTTGCAAATGTTAAAGTCATTTTACTTCATGAAGGCCCTGCATGATTTTTAAAATGGATAGAGAACGAAATTAAGCTTTTTGTTATGCTTGTTATTAGGTGAAAATTTAGCAAGAATGTAGGTAATTAATCTTGGAAACAGATATACGAACATAGGATTAAAGAAACCAAAGACTTAATTTTCACATGTGGGCATTTGGATAGTTAATGTAAATTATTTCATTTCCTGAATTATTGTGATAATTTAGGTGAAAATACTATGTGATCTGGATTTCTAAGTTAAGTCTTTGTTTCATTAGAGTTCAGAAATGAATCATATTAGTGGCCTACATAAGGTGCATATAAAGCAAAGTGATGAATTCTTCCTCCACAAAGACCTGTAAACTGTCATAGAAACATTCCCAGCTCAATTGAACTGCCATTGATCATAGACTTTAGTAATATTTTTCTAAACCATATTTTTTTATCATAATATTTGGTAGTAGGAAAATGTGCCCACATGGAAGGTTACTATGAAAATCCAAGATTAAGGAAAGAAAGATTTATGTTATAAACTTAATATTTCCAGTTTCAGCTATTGCTAAACTCAGATGATTCCTGGGGATCTCACTGAAAATTCTTACTAACCATGGGCACTTTTTGGCCTGGAATTTTCTTAATAGTACCTAACTTTTGTTTTTGAAAGCAGTCTTGTTATGTAATCAGTAGCGACACACCTCTCAATTTATCTCTGAACATAATTTCAACAGAAGGTAAATTTGGGCAAATTCCTCAGAATTCACGTGTGTTTTTCAGAGACCCAGAATTTTTAAGTTACTTCCTCGATATCTTGCAATGCATATTGTTGTGGAAAAAAATCTGGTAGGTCCTTTTTTATGCATTGTATTTTTAAATGATTTACATTTGTCTGTGATTTCAATAATGTAATAAAAATTTTGACCTTTTTTGGATAAATGTTTATTTTGCTTTTGCAGTTAAGTTCTTTGAAATTGTAAATAAACCAAGTGTTTGTTGATTCATTTATTATATGTATACGATGTCTAACTGCTTTTGTAAAGTGAAACATCTTTTCATCTACTAAAACTTGTCAGTTATTTTTCTCATTTTCAAGAAGACTACCAGTGAAAGTATAGATTAGAGCTCTCTCTTATTCAGCTAAGTCAGTGCCTTTTTCATGTCTATAATTAATCTTTTTTTAGGGGGGTGGTTTCTATTAGATTAACTTCTCATTTTATTCATATGTTATTTTCCTAATATTGTGTGTTCTTGTAGACCATGAAACTTTCTTAAGACAATTATTCTGAATTCTTTTTTTCTGATAGAGTCTAATCTTATTTCATTAGGGTCAGTTATTAAAGCTATAGGTTTCCTTTGGTAGCTTGTTTTCCCTTTTTTCCTGATCCTTTGAATCCTTATGACAAAATCCATTCATTTGAGTAAGTGGTCTCCTCTAGTTTGTGCTCTGGTAAAAATTAACCCCAAAATCTTAGTGGCCAAACACTGCTTATTTTCCATTCATGCAATGTCAGCCTCTCCAGGACAGCTGTTTTCCAGGTGTTGGCTCAGTGCTCCAGAATGCTTAGATAAAATTATTTTGGCATTTTTATATTGATAGCTTCTTTTCCAACTGTCAACCCAATAGAATAGCACACCAGAGACCTGGACCGCAGTAAGGAGATACTGCCCATCTGAAGCGACATTCACCACTTTTGCCCTCATTTTATTGGCCAGAATGAATCACCTGGCTATGTCTGTCTTTAAAAAAGAAAGGGTTCCTGCACCTTAGAAGAGAACTGAACATTGGTAAATAAGGATAATGCCTAGTACCAAAACTAAACACAAAGGGAATTCATATTCTTGAAAGAATTTGCTATTAGAAAAGTAAGGGTGAAAAATGTATGAACAGGGTTTTCAATGGAAAAACTGTAAAAAGAGAAATGTAAGAGAACAGGCAAATAGTAAGAGCATAAGTTGATGATAAACAGAAACATTAAATCAGTAAGTAAATTGACATCTGGTTGGTACAAAAGAAAAAAATGGGTAGAAAGTATTAGGCAAAAGAGAAGTAAACTTGTTAGGGTACTAAAAAGGATAAATGATGTAACTATGGCTTTGGAGAATAGTAAAACAAACCAAATTCAATATTAAAACAAATTTGCAAGTGCAAATTTGATTGTGTTGTATACCTTAAACTTACATGATGTTATATGTAAATTATATCTCTAAAAGCTGGAAAGAAAGAATTTGGGTCAGTTACCAGTATTAGGTATAGCTTTGAAAGAGAGTTCTTTAAAACATTTCAGGAAGTCATAGTTCATATGCTAACACTAGTTCTAGGATATAGGAAAAGCATGGTACTTAAATTTATGTGGACTGCGAATATTTACTAAGCAACATTCATTTGCTTAATTATGACAGTGTGTACATGCACACACACATCTTAAAGCCACAAACTTCTAAACAAAATGTTGCATTAATTTTGATAGTATATTAATAGAATACAATGATCTGGTCAAGAAATATGATGGTTTAATATTAAATAATGTTACTGAAATATGTCAAAAGACAAAAATCATTATGAATCTTTATCAAAAAAGCCTTTGATAATAATTGAACTCCCAATTTTTATAAAGACTTTAGTATAGGCAGATTTACTGAACATGTATGTAGTGAATTGATAAACATTTAGTAAATAGGTGTTTCTGAACATGACCTAGAAGAATACTAATCTTAAACAGAGCTCCACTTAATAAATATTTGAAGTTTTCCTGTGAAAAATTGGGAGCACACCTCATATACCTGGCATAACCATTGGTACTTAATGTTGTCCTGACATTTTAAAGCAATTAGACATAGAAAGAGATTATTGAAATAAAGATTACATTAGAGACCAGTTAATGTGGTCATGTGAAAGGATGTATTCAAACACAGAATCCAGGATCACTTCAACAGTGAACCTGTCTTGAAGGATTCTCCCTCTCTATGTATATATTTTTTGATTTGTAATATTTTAGAAATAAGTTATTTTTTGAAACATCACATTTAAAAAAATGTGGTACCATATTCATCAACAATAAGTAATGCCACAAGTTGGGTGCATTAACCATTGTTTAAAAAACAAAGCTGTTAAATATGTTTATGTATTTTTATAGAAATTAACATAAAAGTTATAGCAATATCTATAATTATATATAATTTTTCAAGTCATAAATTTATTCATTTATAAATTATTTTAATCATTATTTATGCACCAGTATTGATTTTCTGGATTTCAGTTGGAATGTAGGCTATTTTAGAATATAGCTAATTGTACATTTAAAGGGTATATGATGTGTTAATGACATCCACTAGTTTTTAGAAAAATTTATCTTTTTCAGTTTGATTACATGGGCGTTGATATCGAGTCTGTAATGCAGAAGGTTATTCAGATAATTGGCTTTGTTAACACTGTAAGTTTTGAAAAACTTTTTTGTTTATATATTTCTTAAATATAGGCAATATTAATTGATGTGCACAATATTTTGCTGTGCTGTTGAAGAGTTTCCATAATCAAAATACTGAATTAAATGTCTTATGTATATTTTTATAAAAGTTTCATGTTGAACTTAATTAATGTTTTCATTTATCTTTTACTTTTAGATGCTTAACCAGTTAAAACTGACTGGTATAATATCTTCTATAGAAATATGATCACATAAAAACAAAATTTCTACTACAGGGAATCCTAATAATATATTATCAAGATTTTTAGAGTGGAAATATAACCACCTATACCAACCTCATCATACTGCATACTTACTTGCGTGAGTATAGTATTCCATATTTGTACAGCATCAAAGGAGCCACCCAAAATGATTTCATATGCTAATTCTGAAAAATAAGCATTTCCTTCCTTTATACTTCGTTCTATAAATTTGACAGACACCTTGGGATGGGGAAAAATAGTAGTTAAAGTACTTGTCCTCAAGGAACTAGTGTGAGACAAGACTGAAAAACTTTTATCAACAGATATAAAATAATCTGATAAAGGTAAAATTTCATGCAAGTATTGAAATAACTGAAGATTAATTATGGATGTAACAATTTCTTTGATTTCTCTTGTCTTATGAACTTTAATTACCTCTTATCTCTACATTCTTGTCTCTCATCTGATTAATTCTTATGTTTTTATTTTTTAATAACATGAGAATATTGAATTGTTACACTATCTAGAACCTAATGCACAGAAAACTATTCATCTTTAATGAATAAATAATTCATTATTGATCTTTAATGAATGAAGAGATGACAGAAAATTGAATTTTCAGTGCTTTAAATATAGAGGAAAAAGGATAAAAATTATAACCATTAGCACATTTTGCATAAACTTATACTTCTGGATGTTTATCAAATTCATATTTTACAAATATATATTAAAATATTCTTACCATTGAAGGTTTGAGAAAATGTATTAAATAGTTTAATTCAGAGTAGCATGGTGCTTAGGACATAGTAATTGTTCAGTAATGTTTGCTGCTATGAAAGTTATTATCATTAATAATGCCACTCATAAATGCAATTATTAGGAAAATTATTATTTTTTAGCTTCAAGAAACATCCTAGTTTTATAGGAGCCACATTTCCTGGAAAAATATGTAGTAAGAATTTTGCTACAGGAGTCGCTCTGGTATGTAGTTATTATCCACTTAGCTCTCATTATTTTCATATTTCAAAAAATTTTAATACATTAAAGCATGAATAAATATATTACATAGTTTATACATCTTTTAATAGTTTTTTGTATTACTAATTTAGACCATAAAAGTTAAACTGTATATAATTGCTTTTAAAGAGGACATTGAACCGATCATAATGTCATACTGTTTTTAAAAAACATATTTGATCTTTGTAAGTCAAATTGTTTCCACAGTGGTATGCTTGC